TTCTGTTGCTCTTCCTGTTTTTTGTTTTTGTAGCCATTTCTTCCGAGTTAGTTCCATTAGGTTATTTATTATTTCGTGAATGCTTTTGGGTTTCTGTAGTCTGCTTGTGTGTCAGTGATCAGTTTGTTCCAGCGCTAATAACAGTTTGTTTTGCTTATGACTTTCAGTTCTTCTTTAAATTCCTGCATAATATTTTGTTGTCATTGTTCCACCCGTGTGTTTTTGTATATCTACATAGATTGGTGAATCTGGTTTGACTACTTTCATATATGTTAATTGTGCATGGTAAAGTACGGTAAGTTGTTTTTCATTGCTGTTATTACTTCATTGTACCATGTGTCCAGGTTTGTCAATCTCTTTGCTGTGGTCTTTTGTTGTGATTTAGTGTTGGTTCGTTGTTACTAAGATATGATTTAAAGATTTACCAATTTGGTTTCTATTGAGGAAAATCTTGGGATTGATGGAATTTGTGTCAGGATGTGGATAGAGTTGCTATTATGGGTAGATGATCACTGGTTGTTGTGGGTCCAGTTTTTATATGTACGTTTAGATGGTGATGCCTATTGGTTAAAAAAATAATGTCTGGTTTTCCAGAGTTACCGGCTGATACGTAGGAAGTAGTACCTCCCTGTTTGGTAGCTGCCTACTACCTACTACATAATTCAAGTTGATAAGTTATGGCATAACACATTCTTACATCCCAATCAATTGGTTCCAAATATTCAGACAATGGTGCACAATACTGTTAGCTCAATACAGCTAGTAAGATTACTTCTTTTCTTTACAATCTTAAAGTCTACTTTATCACAGTACTGTACTGCTACCTTATACACCATTATGCACTAGATGGCAACTCCTTGGTGTACCTTGTTATGGGCAATACACAGCTCTAAAGGACAACAACCACCACTGCATTAATAATCACGTTCGTAAATTTTTCTTGTAGCACCGTTCACTTGTAGCAAGTTAAAAATATATTTTTCTAGTGTATTTGTGTGTGCTGAGACCGAATATGACCTTCCTTTTTGGCGGAAATGCCGGGGTTTTTTGCGATTTTTTTCGTTTGACGTTTTCGAAAGAAAAAAAAAAGTGCCTAGCGACAAACAAATACACAATAAAACACTAGAAAAAACAACTCAAACCTACCTATTCAACAACTGCTCTCACCATATGATGGAATCACCTATTTTTACCTTATTGGCCTGGTTCTTGTTCGTCGTTGCGTTCTGGGATTCTTACACAACGCCACATATGTTGGTCTTTGCGATATTTACATTCAGTCTTGCTCTTAGTACACTTTACTGAGGTTGGAAGAACACCATGCGATCGAAAAAATGCTATAGTTTCTTCGTTTTTCCAAAACCTTGCAATCAGCTCCATGTACTTTAAGTGACACCCTCGCAGACTTCCATGGTCGGACTGAACTTGAATTTAAAATATGAGAGACCAAAAGAATACTCGAATTTGATTGGGCCAAAAATACCGCAATTAAACCCACAAAAATTTAATTGGTTTCAAAATAAAAAGGCTTTTTGATTGGCGTGGCGTGTACAGCAACGCATGCGCAGGAGTGATTTATGAAGAGGGACGCAGGAGACACGCGCGGTGTTGGAGGAGAGGCAGACGATAATGGCAGGATGTTAATGGAAGAAAATAGAAAATATTTTGGAAGAGCTATCTCCGTTATTATACATTTCCGCCGGTAATGTAATACATGAAAATTATCTTATAATTAGACGTCTTATTCGAATATGATAATAGATTAGTGGTAGGAATGAACGGTGCTACAAGAAAATAATACCATCACGTTCATTGCATAGTACAGGTTCCGTGTTGTGTGAAATATGTATAATGCAAAATATCTACCGTTTTATTATACTGCGCATGCATGGCCATGCGCGGGACCATAAAACGTTCGTCTGCGCATTGTAGAATATCTTCCACATTACTCAAATATCCAGATGGTGGTGATTTTTAGTTATTAGTGGTTGATTATAAGAATTTGTAGCTTAAAATTAGTCCAGCTAATTAGCAGAAGCCATCCCTGAATGTTGACCACAGGACTACTCCCCCTTCTCACACCAATAGCAGCCACACTAAACCCACTTAGAAACCACATATTGGGGCATATTCTCCCTATACTGATAGCTCAGTATTCCCATAAGCAACTCACGGGATATGCTCAAGTCAAGACGTTAAAGAACATTAGCTTTATTGAAACCATATCTGAAACCACACCTGGGTAGATATTTTATTGTTGTGACTTATTTTGCAGTTATTGTGCAAAATGTCAGATGTAACTCTTTCATAATAACATAAGAAAAAAAGGAGTCTGCAATAGGCCGGTTGGCCTGTGCATGGCAGCTCCTGTCGAGAGTTACTACCACTCTCTATCATCCATGAATCTATCAGCCTCCTTTTGAAACTTTCCAGCGTTCCAGCACTTACTACAAAGTTGCTAAGCTTGTTCCTCGTCTACCACCCTATTTGTCAGACCAGTTCTCCCTATCTCCCTCCTAAACCTAAACTTATCCAACTTAAATCCTTTGCTCCGAGTCCTATCCTGCTCGGATATTATAAGAACTTTATCTACATCCCCTTTATTGATTCCTTTCACCCACTTAAATACTTCTATCATATCTCCCCGCACTCTTCGTCTTTCTAGGAAATGCAAGTTAAGTTTCTTTAACCTATCCTGATATGGAAGGTTTATAAGTCACAGAATCATTTTCGCCATTCTTCGTTGCACCGACTTTAGTGAATTGATATCCATTCTATAATAGGGGCACCAGAATTGAACCGCTTAATCGAGGTGTGGCGTGACTATCGCAAGATATAGTTGCAATAAGACCTCTGCACTCTTATTACCTACACTTCTAGATATAAAACCCAATACTCCGTTTGCCTTATTTCAAACATTAACGCACTGTTTTCTAGGCCGTAGGTCCGGGCTTCTAAAGTACCCCTAGGTCGACTTCTCTAGGTTGATGTTGTTAAGGCTGTATACATTGTCAGTATTTGTTCTTCCAATATTAAGTACGCTGCACTTTCTGGTGTTGAATTTCATTTGCCATTTTCAGACTACAGTTTATTTAGATCCTCCTGTAATGCATTTGCACCTGAATTAATCTGCCTCGCTATTTTGGTGTCATCCGCAAACTTGCTTATGTCACTGCTGATCCCAGTATCTAGATCGTTTATGTAGATTATGAACAAGTGGGCCTAGTACTGACCCCTGGGGAACCCCTGGTTACGGCCCCCCACTCCAGATTTAACACCATCTACGTGACCCTCTGCGTTCTATTGGTGAGCCATGATTTCATCCAATTTAAAACTTTCCCCTCGATACCATGAGCCTTAATTTTTCTCAGAAGCCTCTGATGCGGTACTCTGTCAAATGCTTTGCTAAAGTCTAATTAAATAACAATAATTTTCGTCATTATCTACTACCTCGTAGCGGTAGATATTGTGTACAACATTGGAACTGCTACATTATGCTATTATACACTGATTGTTACTCCTTGGGTTACCTTGCTAAGTATAGCATTTTATATCATCATTGATGACAGAGAATATCTGCCTAAATTTTCACTTGATATAGGTATATGACACATGCACGCTTTCACTGTGCTGCCATTTGGGGCTGGGACTAACCACACTCACAGGTTTCTAGTAAAAAAAATTTACAGTTAAACACTGGATATTTCTCGCCACGCAACAGGTTCATATCACACTACCAAAGTCAGCTAGGCTAGGCCTCACGGTAACCACTCTTAAGGTAGCAAGGTCACAGATTAACATTCCTCTAAATTACATTCCTCTAAATTACCTCCCTCGCTTCCCTCACTAACTCCCTCTACCATTAGATACCAGCCTCACAAGATTCCTGCAAATATGAACCAATATCCTTACTATTCTCCCAGTGATATACACCTGTTGACACATAATATCCACTCTTCCCCCTGCAACTCAATCATATATCTGCTTAAATTACAGCGATAATTCCTAGAAAGTTGGAGATGAACAACCACGTGTGAACAGTAATTTTACCGCTCCGCAGAACAGGCTGAACAGGCAGAGCTACCAACTCTTGCGACACTCACTATTGACAGGATTACCTCACACTCTCCACATCCAAATATTATCAATTCGTCCACCTATTACACACACACACGTGTCTAGTGTATGAAGTAAAACGGATTATCTATAAATCTTGTCTAATGGAAATCCTTTTAAATCTGCGGGAAACGTATTATTTAAAACAAGACGAGAAAAATTAAAAGAACTATAAATGATGGTCATGGATAGATTAATATATAATCTTTTTCTTTTCTATTTTTAATTTCCTATTACTCTTATTTTTTCGTCCGCTAGGCCCCGTTGTGGGTCGAAGACCTGTGCCCGGGTGGGCTATTCCCCGTAAAAAAAAACACAAATAAATAAAAATCATCCATTAGGCCATGACTTCTCATGGACGATTTCAATTTTTAGTTCTTCCACTTCAGATGCATAATGGGAAGATTACACGAAGATGAGTTCCCCAGATTATTTCACCTTAACATAGATAGACCACGCTAATGCAATCCTTACATAAACTAACCTAACCCCCCCCAGATAGGTAAAATGAGTTATGGAGCAAATCATCATGTGATCGGAATAATGAACTAAAAGCACAGTATCGTGGAATTCTTGGTGAAGGAACAATATCCGGCAAGATTTCTAAACAGATTGCATGATGTTTGTCAATCTCAAAGGTTCAAATTCTCAAAGATTCGTACGCTGAACTTTCATAAAACTAAGGTTACTCTACGACACACTCACAGAGGCCTCTTAATAATGTTTAAATTCCAACATCATATTGTAATTAGATGCTCTATCACGGCCTGACTTACGAGGAAAAGGAATTACATACGTGTCTCTGAGAATCCGGTAACTGGCATATGACGCAGAGTTGCTCACCGTAACAAGGTCACTCTTTCGTCTCGCAGTAGCTTAGTCTTACCTCACCAGCACCAACAGCAGCAGCAGCTCAAGTTGTGCATGTGACTGTGCCCTAGAATACATAGGCACCGTTTTTTAAGTGGAGCCTGCCAGTGAACCGGTGAACATCATCTACAGCAGAGACAAACTAGAAGCAAGTTAACACTTAGTGAAGATATTAGTTACTTTGCAAGTGCAGAGGCAGCACACTGGATGCAAGTGAACATATGTGAGTGAAAACATCAAAAGCTGTCTTGTACGTGGAGTTATAACTACGATATCCTGACTATGAACCTTAACCTTAAGAAGTGTTTCACTATTAGTAAGTGAACATTACGATTTGTAGAGACTATAAACAGTTTTATTATTTTTTGGCTCAAGGTTTAGAATGGAGCGAGGAAGGATAGAGTTGGCGGTGGTGTTCTTGATATGGATGGTGCCTACAGTTATCGCCATGGTGCTGGTACACGTGTTCGGCGTGGCGGCAGTCGTCGCTATGGGAGTGTTTTTCGTTATTGGAATTCTCGTTTCGGCCTTCGTGAAATCCACCGGCAAGTGTCAAAACCTGACAGAGTCTCAGCCTGTCCAAGAGCAGGTGAGGACCATCGTCTACCAGTTACTGTGCCATGATAACATTCATGGAAGCGTCAGGAGATAACGTTATTTAACCCCCAAAAGTTTAGGTTTAGGAATATACTAGACATAGTTATCATTATTCATTATCACTATCATTCTTCACTTCTTAAAGTGTATAAACCCATTGTTATATCATAAATTTCTCAAATGTCTTGAAATTCAATTGCACAATTTTACATGCGCTTTGGCCTTGCTAGTAAAAGATGGCAGTAACAGAGAAGTCCTGACTGTAGGTATGACAACAAGCACCTACCAGTTGCATGATGACATCTTTCCAAAACTAACTTACAACAACTTATAGAGAGAAGATACTTAATAGTGAATGGACAATCACAAAAGTAATTACCTTTTCTATGAAAATTATAGGCGAAATAACATTAATTTTTTCCTCTTGAAGACAAACTTTACTTGCAGTCTCCGCAGAATGTTGAAGAGGACTGTCCGCCGTCATATGAGGTTGTAACATCCAAGCCCCCGCCCTACAGCCTCCTCTACGTCAGTGACTCACTCCCGGGGGGCTCGAGGGAGGACGTTGAGTCGGCCTCCAGCTCCGCGCACATGTTGCCTGACGCTCAACACAATAAAAATGTGGAATTTTGCCATACTTGGACCGTGACGGATCCTGAGTCAAGCCCTCCCTCTTACCCCGAGGCTGTCAACTCTTCATTCGGTGGGATCCCGCACACTACTTCCAATACCACGCCTACCTCCACTCTTACAAGTGAAACTACACCCGTTATTTATCCCAGTACATCCACGCTTACTAGTTACTTTACCAGTAGGACAACCACCCCCTCCTCCACAACCACCATGACTACGTGTCCCTCGTCAACTACTTGTGTGAAGGTGCATCTGACAGACTGAAGAAAGCACAGGACAAATAAAACTTCATCTTCAAGTCAAATCATCACACTCACCCATTCTAGTCAGGGCACACCTACGTTTTTATCATGTTTAACACATAAGTTCACCGAAAAGGCACATGGCCTTACTTGTACTTTTAAGATTATGTCGCAACCTTTTATTTCTGAAAGTTTAACTGTAATGTTATAGTGGGAAGAATGCGAGTGATTTCATGGTACGGAAGGACCAGTAAATGCACATCACACAGGTGTTCACATGACTGTTTCACATATTTGTTCACCGTTGCGTCCACGCGCATAATTAAGACTAACAAACAATAGACGCCAACCCGAGTCTTGTGTACTGAAGGTTGCGGATATATAATCATAATAATCTTCATACCAGATCAGACTAGCGTTACCAGTTTCTCTCTCTCTCTTTATATATATATATATATATATATATATATATATATATATATATATTTCATGTAGATCCACAATGAAAATGTGGATAAGATAAATCTTGATAAAATCACACGGGAAAAGGGAAACAACGGAGCACCTTAGCTTTCGTCTTTATTCAAGACATCTTCAGAGGCAACTGGATTACATGGACAGAGAGAGGCTTAAATATACAGGGTGACCTTATAAAACATGAGGTCAGGTCATAATGATGTCATCCACTAATCCCCACACCAACACACAGGTAGAAGAGCTTAAGAGAAGGGGGGTGACGTGACTAGTCAGGTCAGGTCAAAAATAAGGGACCCACTATATAACTATCATACATCTAGATCAAAGGTTTTCAAAGCATTTTTAACCTTGGGCCATCTTCAGGGGTGAGTGCAGTCTGTACTCACCCCTGAAGATGTGAATTACACGAAAGCGCTTGGGAACTTCGTGTTTTCTTCTTTCCTTGTGGTTATCAGCATATACCTAGACCACGCGCACCTACAGTGATTTACTTGCATATATATATATATATATATATATATATATATATATATATATATATATATATATATATATATATATATATATATATATATATATATATATATATATATATATAATGTGTGTGTGTTACTTTTTATCTTAAATATTTTGTATTCTGTGTTCTACGTTTCATTTTAATTTTAAAATTTTATACATACATTTTTTGTGCTGCATTATTTATGAACTCGACTGATTAATTATCAATAAATTCAATCCAATCGCCGGGAATGGCTGTGTTTAATGCACTTTCACAATGATATATTGTATGTAGTGTTATGTATCTGTATACAGTATATCTATATTTATCGTATTGTAATATATTGTAGAAAATACAAGATGACAGCTCTTAATACAATCCATATATGAATGTTAAAAATTTACTTGGCTTTATCAAGTTTTGTTGTAGTATATCAGATGAAAATTTTCATATTGAGATATAGTATAAAGGGAACACATAACATTACCCCCCACCTTATTTTACCGTAAGATTACACCCTAACCTAACCTCTAAGGATGTTCAATCATCAGCTGAAATAAGCTGGTGATAATCCTTAGGTGACCCTATCAATCAATCAATCAATCAATGGCTAGTGACAGGGGGGGAAGAAGGTTCAGGGGGAGGATAAAGGTAGGATAGAAGTGAGTTTTAGAAGGAGAGGAAAGGTGGAGTGGCTTAAACACCGCTTTCGTGAGGGGGTAGGCGATGTGTCCGGATGGGTGTGTGGTGTTGCGACACCTCGCCAGGACGGGGGTGGGGGGGGGGCTGTTGTCGGGCCGGCGCCGGGCCAAGTTGTCGTCAGGTGCTCTGGCTGTGTCGGTGAAGCGGAGGAAGAACCAGACTGCTGGACCCGGAGCTGTGAAGACTTGCCTTTTTTCCGCTGTGTGGTTGAGCAATTACCACCGCGCGCTCATGGAACCTAGGACACCACCCCCGGCCCCCTGTCCACCACCGGCGTGCCGGCCCCTGGGGCCCATCCACTCCAGTTCTCCATATCAATTGACCACCCTGCGAACATGGTAGTGGACTACGTATCTACGCCAAGAAGGACGTCCCCTACCAACCTCTCGACGTCCCCCTTGAAGCCGACACTACCGACGTACACGCCATCACAATCACACTAAAAGGTTTGTCCCTCAATATTGCCAATGCCTATGGCTATGGCCTGGCACTTGACATTATTAGAGACCTGCCACAGATAAATTGTACCGGGAAATTTCCCCCCACACACTCATCATTCTGTCACTTTATGTAACTTGCTGACAAAACCCATGACCCTTCAGGCTTTTACGCCCTAGATGCATGAGTCATAAGGCAAGCATGAACTCCGCATGCTTCCCAGATGGACACTGTAAACGCTTCTGCACTTCATCTTGCACAGGATGTAAGGAGATGCCCAATAAACTAGTCCACTCCGGGGCAATCTAAATCTAATCTAATCTCAGACACGAGAAACAATCAAGCCTCTGGAAATCATTATATTTGCTCTACCCAAAATTTAATGATGATGATAATAATAAACGGTTTATTAATAGAGTTGCAGCTGGTGGCTGAAAATATACCAACTAACATGTGATTTAGACATAATAATATACATTCAATACATTTACAAGGCTGTACAGTACATAAATCAGGAGCTGTTTATTATTTTAACAATAGATGGGATGGTGCTGTTCTTATATCTATCAGTGCGGGCTCTTATGGGCTGAATTTTGTTGTAGTGGCGGACTGCGCGAAGTGGGGTGGGGACTGCCGGTTTGACTGCGAGAGATTGACTGCCGTTGATGATTGAGGGTGGCGATTGTCGCCATTGGACCGATCAGTGTAGGCCTGTCACTGGTTAGCGGGGTATCAAAGGATCTCTTGAGGGAATCTAGCCGTCTGGGTGCGCAGCTGACGACAGGACGATCGTTGGGTCAGCAGCTCTCCTCTACCTCGGCTCACAACACCACATGACTCGAGCAGCTTAGTGAAACTCTCTTGCTAACGGGAAGCTAAAGCTTCTCTCAACTGTACAAGGTCTGATTGGCTCACTCCCTTCCGCTGTATGGACGCACTGGGAGTACACTGAGGCTATCTGAGTAAATTAATGGTCACACACTGAGACCATGAGTCTAGGACTCTAGGAGATACCTAGAGGAACATTTTATCTCCCTTATTACGGGTGTATGTTGAGTTGGGTGGAGCATGGTTCACGAGTATTGGTGGACCCAGTAACATATTAATAATAGTGAATATATTTGGGTGTAGTTGATACCATTTCGCAGTTACTGATATTATCGTGACGTGTGTAGTTTAATATTTCTTAAACAATTTTGATAGTATTGTTTTTGAATGTTGTGTCACTAAGTGGAACCAGAGTGATACTGTGATTTGATTCTTTTAATGCATTTAATTTTTCTTTATAATTCCGATCTCAGGTATAACCTTTGTTCCCCAGAGTAGTGTTTAAGTTAGGTTAGGAAATGTGCATCTGTTGGGGTGATATAATTTTGTTGAGTGCCCTTAAGGCCTATTCATTGTAGAGTATTTAATTTCTTATGTTTTATTACCATTTCCTCAGTGACTGATGTTATGTTGTTGAAAGCCCTTAAGGCCTATTCATTGTAGAGTATTTAATTTCTTATTTTTTAATACCATTTCCTAAGTGACTGATATTATTTTGTGAAAGCCCTTAAGGCCTGTTTCATGTGTGCAAGCAACATTTCTTAATACTTCAAAATATTGTTGCCTGAGTTTCTAATAATTTTTATATCATGTATAACTTTTATTCCCCAGAGTATTGTTTTAAGTTCAAGTTAAGAGGTGCGCATATTGGTGTACCATTATTTGATTGTGTTTGTAGTGTTGGAGGGAATATAAGTGTCTAAATTTTACAGTGTGTCTCATTCATCCCAGTCACAGACGCTATCCTTCCACGGGTCACGGACAATTCATTTTGTTTAGTAGATTTAAGTGTTCTTGTGCTGGTTCGGGATTTTTCTCAAAGGGGCGCTTCCACTGCCATTACCATCTTATAATCTTTAATAAACCCCAAGTCCAGTAAATTCCGACCGGTTACATATATATATATATATATATATATATATATATATATATATATATATATATATATATATATATATATATATATATATATATATATATATATATATATATATATATATATATGTATATATAGTTAGTTACGATACAATGCGAGTTTTTAACTCGCCCTCCCATAACAAATTCAGGAACGTAGGCCAGAATGAATCTCAATGGAGAGACAGAGCTTATATACACGGCAGCCGGAAGTAAACCCGTGGGAACTCGCCGGTTTCTTGACTCCGTTGCTAGGGAAGACGTAGCAGATGGCGAACCCCCCCCCCGTGTTGCTAGGATACAGTAGCAGCTGGTGACCCCCCCCCCCTTGAACAGCTCGCTTGGTTGCTAGGATACTGTCGCATTGCAATGCGGATGTAGTTTGTAGGGGAGAGATCCACTACAGTACTCCCCTTCCCCTCCGGGCGCTGCAAAAGACTTGTTGTCTGCAGGGTTGTATCTCACATGTGAGACATAACGGGCAGGGGTGTGGACGACTTGGCCACTATGGGTGACGACTCCGTCTGGAGGCACAAGATCTGTGGGAGAAGCAGAGGGAGAAAGAGGGTTGTGGATAGGAGAAGGTTGTACTGGCGAGGAATATGGTGCTTCTATCGCCGCAGATGGAGGGGGGCCGGGTGGGGTATCTTGGTCATTAGGGCCAGCTGCGGGGTCGTCAGGAGCAGTAGGTATCTGAGGATGAAAAGAGGGTATGCAGAAATGTTGTGGGCGAGGTGGTGCTCTAAGTGGCAATGGTGGGTAGACTTGCGGAGGAGGTGCGGGATGAATGTATTCAGGGCGGTGGAAAGGCTGGCGTGGGGCAGTAGCCTTGACTGCAGAAACCGCCTGATGTAGTGTTTGTAGTAGGTCGTGACGGGCAGCAGGAGTGAAGTGGTCAAGGTCAGAATTAAGGCGTGTGATGTGCTGCTTGATAGTGGCGGAGGTTATGGCGCGTACCAGTCTCCGTCGATGTTGCTTCACCGTGTAGTTGCAGGGAGCCTCACAGCGTCTAGCTTTAGCGCAAAAACGTTGATGGTACCAACAGAAGGTAGGTACATTGTGCTGGGGGCTGGCGGCGGTGTCTGGGGCAGGACGGGGGTGTTGGGGTTGGTAGGACACAGTGTGTGTGGCAGGAACAGGAGAAGAAGCAGGCATGGAGGAGCAGAGCTGTTGAATGGTGTCCATCCTGCGGTTCAAGGTTTGCAACAGGTCCCTGATGTCTTGCTTGTCTGGTGGAATGCTACTTCTCTGAGGAACGTTGATCAGGTTGACGAAACCGGGGCTAAGAGGAGGTGTGACCACTGAGTGGTTTGCCGCAGCATGGAAACGTAGGACTAGGGTTTGTTTTCCTGGGGCTGGGATAGGGCATGT